AAAAAAAAAAAAAAAAAACAAAAACAAAAAACCGGAAAACAACCACTTAACAAACTAACTGATTTCCTGACTAACGGAGGATGGTTTTTGTGCTTCAACACAGCCCCGGCATCACTGCTCAACGAGGGCGAATCTCCACTTCCAGCATCCACTTCCAACATTCATACATCAATTAGAGCATTTTAATTCAACTTCGGGATCAAATTTGCTAAACCTGCCGAATGAGCATCATTTTATTATACGTAGTGGCATTTAAAGTATTAACATACATCGCAGATAAGCATTAGTGCGTGGCATCAAAGTTCCAAAAACAGGTCAAAAAATGATAAAACTTTTCTGCAAGAACTTCGAAAGTTTATGCAAAAACTATTTTATCATCCTCACCAAAACAGAACTATACAATAAGCAGTATTAGTACAATCACACTGAAAAATTATTAACATCGGAATTTCAAAAGATACTGCTTCAAAAAAATAAAACCATTTTTTCAACAGAACCAGTTATAATTACTGTTAATACAGATTCTTCTCATAAAACAGACAAACAAATTCAACAGATCCGTCTCGAAAAAATATCATGAATTCAAACCTTGCTTCCAAAAACATACCGAAACAAGAAAAGAAAATAAGAAGTGAAATTAGCCACAACCACATAGATTCAGCTTAGTTAGAATGCACCGTCTGCTTGCAAAGGAAATAAGAGATGTATGATGCTATATTTCAAAACTCTTCCTAAAAAATTCTGAAAAAATCTGTTAAGAAATTGAGTTCTATAAAAATAATATTTTTTAGTCATTTTTAAAAATCGGTTGTAAAATTAAAAGGTGAAATAAAAAGTACTGTACAGTCTCTACATAAATAACATTATGAGCTACCGAAAGAGGAGAGAAATGAGTGACAAGTAATAAAACAAAATTAGTAACTAGTTATCACATACTGGGGTTAGATTCACAACTGGAGAAAACAGTAACCGCAACAACTGAATTGCTTTGGATAAATGTTAATAATTATTTGAATTATCATAATAATAAAAATAAATAAATAAAAATAAAAAAAAAAAATAAGCTCAATTATAAAATGGAAAATTGTCAAAAATCAGGTAAAATTATGAATAAAGAATACTTATAGTAATAACGCTTAAATCTACGTTCTACGGGATTTGTAAGTGAGTATTATGCAAAATTAATAAAACTCTTTATATACGAACAGAGTTCAAAAAACTAGGAAATTTTTAAAGGCAGTCAATTTACAGCTTTCCTACTTTACCATTTCATTTTTGTTAGTTTCGAGTAGCCTTTGAATGTCCTGAAAGAAGCAGTTAAAGTAGCTAATGTTCACACTTCAAAAAATGTGACAATAATTATAGCAAACTTTGTTAAAACAACTCAAAACTATGTTCCAAAAGAGTGAGGGGCCTACTTTCTGTAAATTAAGATTTTTCGATAGAGTTTCCTCAAGCATTCTTTGTAGTTTACGGTTCATATCACGGATTCCGGCCGCGGAGTCATCAATGCGAACTATATCAAACATCCGGCGAATGCGCAAACCTGAACTACAACATTGCAAACGCTATTAATGCAAGCACCTCCGATGAACTTAACTAACTACTAATGTGTAAAATGTAACTTATTAGAAACTTTCTGCCGAATGAGTAAATAAAAAGAGCAAAATTAATTCAGGAAAACCAAAAGGTAAGGGGTTACCAACAAAAAAATCAAGAGAAAAGTACAAACTTTACCATGTGCAAAACCCCAAAAATATAGCATCTTAAAATTTCAGTTGAAAAAGTAAAGTTCTAATCAGCTTTGAGAACTCGGGAAAGTAACCCCATGAAGTAAATAATGTAATAACATTTTCAGTATAAATAATGGAAAATAAAAAATAAATTTTGTTTATTCATTGATGGTGAATTTCACCTAGTATAGCAATAAATGAAAAGTAATGTTCAACCAACTTGGTGAAGAAGGTGTATGCGAATCTCCACTGGGCCTATTACGTATCCATTCGGCTATCACTTCACTTTTTTCGCTCACTTCTTTCCTTAGCAATGTGTTTTCTTCCTCCAACATATTTAGCTGCAAAACACAGCAGCTAACCACAAAGACAATCCTAATAACTAAGAAAAAAAGCATCTTCAAAAGTGTAATAAAACAAAAATTGGTGAACTATTATTAATATTTCACCCTGTCAATGGTTTCTGAATGTTTCTTTTGTAACTGGGCCAAACGACCGATAAGCTCAACGTTATCTGATTCTAGCACAGATGCAGAACAGGAACTCTCATCACCGTCAAAAGTCTGTAAAAAGATAGTAAAAACTCAATATTCAGAAAGTTGTTTAAAACTATACTAAAATAAGACATCCAGTGATTATTCTTAACAAACAGTGATAACGTTTACAGCAAAAAATAAATTACATGGGTGGAACGTCTGTCAGTTTCAGCAACAAAAGCCCATGAACACACACTGGAAGAGCCCTCAACACCATTACGACCATCAGTACGAGAGTGGTCGGAAGAAACCAGCGGAGAATTAGTCACTCTATAGTGACGCCCTGAACCTAAAAGTGTATTTCAAATCTAAAACCGTTTCAAATTTTTTACTGATAGGGAAAGGAAGGATAATGAATACCACTTGCTTTGTAAAATCTGTCAACAAGGTTACAGCAAAATGTGTTCCTAATCAACGATTTTTTACTCGCAGATGGAACAGAGAAGAGATTGACAAAACAATATAAAGAAAGGAAAGTGACTGCTTGTCTACTGCGAGATAGATCAATCAAAAGTTATCTTATTTAAAATATAAGAGCCGCAAGAAAAAGCTAACCAAGAGCATCCTCCAGCTGTCTTTCAGCTTGATCAGCTCTTTTTTTTTCTTGTTGAACTTGACGACGAAGTTCTTTTACCATTGATGACTAAAACAATAAAGATCTGAAGTGATAAACCGTAAACTATACGACAATATAAAAGACAAAGAACCTGTTTTTTCAATGCAATATGCATTTCTTGGTCCTTAACTTTTAATCTTTCTTTCCCTTGTAAAGACTCCAATTCTGCTTTCTCTTCCAGATCTCTACATTTCTCCTCCAAGGACGCAAATTTCTGGAAAAAGTTTTATTTGGAGACAGAGAGCAGAGCAAGCAAAATCCCATCTTGTCTACAGCTACAAAAAAAAAAAAAAAAACTAAAATTAAGAAACTGGAATAAAACCTTCTCGTTTTCTGAAACTAATTCCTTTTCCTTCAACTCGAAGTTTTCAATCTTTTCTAGATAAGCCTTTTCTTTCGAACACCAATCACTACGTTCTTTGCTCAAGAGTTGCTAAAATTCTCAAACGAAAACATCAAATAATGGAAAAAATTCCCTTAAGCAAACGAAATAAGAGCAAACAAAATAACAACCTCTTTTTCTTCCATCTGAGAAATTAATATCTTCTGCTGCGAAATTTCGCTCCGCAAATTTTTGATAACTTCTTCAAGACCTTTAATCTCACCAGAATTTTTACCACTCAACGCAGTCAATTCACAAACACGTTTTTCCAAAGCATTCTTTTCTTTTATAATATCTTCATGCCTCGACTTAATATTTTCAAGCTGGAAAATGAACGAAGTTACCTCAAATTTTTCTGCTAAAAACAATCACGTTATTGTCTAATGAGTAGCCATAAACAAATGCCAGTGAAAACTCACAGCTTCTTTTGATGAAGTATACTCATCCATAAAGCTTGGTTCCGTCTGAACGTCAACCTCGCAGTTCTCAAACTCCTCTTCGGCAGAAGTCTGAAATTATCAAATGAGTATTCAAAAATTCCATTGATCAAAATGAATGCAAATAACAGGACTCCAGGAAGAAAAGCATGCTCTAAAACAACTAAGAAATTTAACAATCCTCACTTGAACCGAAGATGTGGTTGCGTTGAGAAGAAAATAGGCTTCACACTGAACACCAAATTCAACAAAGTTAACATCCCTTTCTTTACAAAACTGCTCGTATCGAGATTTCAGTAAAGCGTTTTCTTCATCTTTTATCTTCAAAGTATCTTCCAACTCATTATAAACTTTCTGCTTCTCATCTAACTGTTTTTCCAGAGCAGCATGTCTTAAAAATGTGGTAATACAAAGACAAATCATTGAAAATTTAATTAAATTCAAAAGCCCAGAAAAAACTAAGAGTAATTTAGGTATAACGAGGATGTGCAGACAGGAGATAAATTATTTACTAAAAACAGCAAAGTAAGCAAAATGAAGGAATTCCGAAACCGCAAAAAACCACCGTCAAACACTCAAAACAATCAAGACGATTAAAACTAAAGAGGAATTCTTAGCAACTCACCTTTTTTCAGCCATATTAGCCCTCTCGCTCTCGCCATCTCTAGCTCGTAACAAATCCTTATTGAGAATTTCAATGTCTTCTATTAATGAATCTTTTTCGGCTAGCACACCTAAATTTGAACAAAACGCATCATTTTTAAAGAGAAGCAAAAAACAACAGAAAAGAGCGAAGTACAAATGTGAAAAATAATTTTGCAGTGGAGTTAGAATTCAAGAATCTTACTTCCTCCGAACCACAGCAAACCAAATTTACTCTCAAAATACCGTCACAGCAAAAAGCACTAACCCTCCCACTAACCTTTAAGCCATGCGATTTCCTTCTCCAACTCGTGTTCTGTTTTACTATGTCCCAAAACGCTTGCAATATTGTCTGACAAAATATATAAAAAAAGTAAATATCTTTAAGAAAAGCGATAAAAAACGTTGACTCAAACCAAAACAGGATTGACAGAAAATTTACAAAACTGATGGAAATAATATTTCAGTTTTTGGTACTCCAAACTGAAATCTGCAAAATACAAAACGCATCTTATGCGTAGCAAAGAAAACGAACCATCAATTTTTTCTGAAACAGAATTACTTTCGTCAGCTTCTCCTATCCTCTTTTCCAAAATTTTATTCTGAGCGACTACCTACAAATGGAGCATCCCAGAAAAAAAATAAAGTGGCTGCCGACAAATGACAAAAATAAAACTCTGAAAATTAGAAAAATCAAAAAAAATAACTCTTAAATCACAAAAAACTCAGCAAAACGTAGAAAAATTTGCTATAGAAAACGACACCAGTGAAACTAAAAAATAGCAAAAAAAAAAAAAAAACTTTTGTCTTCGAGGAACTTTTGAAGGAAACCTTATTCAATTCTGCTAGGAGCGTAGACTGCTGCAAACGGAATTCATCTTCCTGCGTTGTGAGTTTAGCTCTTAGTGCGTTAACCTCTTCTTCCCACTTCCCCAAACCGGTCTGTTTTTCGGCTTTCCTCCCTATGAACTAAAACACCAAATTTATAGCAAAAGTAAAAAACATCTCAATGATTATCTGTTTACTGCACGCAAAAAACGAGAAACGACGATTTGATTGTACCAATAATTAAGGTAAATTTGACAAAAAAATGCAAACCGGCAACGCCTGACCTTTGTAGCAAAGCGGAATGTTTCATTAGATTTGGAATTTTGCGACTGAAGCTGTTTATTCTTTTCAATTAGTTCATAATTCTGGTTCCGAAGCTCAATTAACTGCTGCTGCAACCGATTGAACTCATCGGTAGAAAGAGCCGTACCACTCTCCATGCAGACAGGTCCAGATTCCTCACCCTCATCTGACTGCATCTAAAAAGTTTTTCTAAAGAACACTCTTAAAAAGTAGCAGTGATTCGCAAAAACAAAAAGCAAAGCTGCCTTTACAGTTAATTATCGAATGAAGAAGTTAACTGATTAATCAAAAAAAGGTTCTTCACTGGCCAAGTAACTGATTCCGCCAATATTATAAATAATACAAACAATGAAGTTAATAAACCCAAACCTAGTTTCTGAATACATAATAGGTTAAATTTCCAAATGATATTTTTTAATAAACCAGCACGAAAAAGAGAGTGACATTTCACCTGTTACAGCGGTAAACGAAAATGGTCATGATTTGTTTAAAATAAAGGAGAGTTGATTTTTTTCCTATATGCGGATTTATAATCGTCAAAAGTTATTGGAAGAGATATATATTTACTGCTAACCGCAAAAAGAAACAAAACTTACAACTCAGATGTCATAGCATATGACAGTCCTGAAGATAATAGTAAAACAGAATTATTAACATTTAAAAATGAACAAGTTTTACAGTAAATCCCAAATACTCATATTCTCTACAATTTTCAATTAACTAAAATGACAAAATCAATAACTAACCGGAAAGACAATGGGAAGGACGAAAAAAGGAAAGACCCATTCTGCTTACCAAAGCTTAACTGTTTTGATGATAAAGTTTTATGTACGTGCAACAAATAATGAGAACAGACACATAATTTCAAAACATGTTTCTAAATGATTATTCAGAAAAGAGAACCGCCAAAAACCAAAGCAAAAGAACGCTGATCAAAGAAGTCATTTATGACGAAAAACATTAGCCTAATACATACACTTGCTTAGTAGGTTTGAAACGGAAACAGCAGTGGAGTGACTCAACCCAATGCCACCAAAAAAAAAAAAAAACATCAAACGCATATTATTATGATTATTTTAAAAAAGTGACTGGTGGAAAAAACGAACAATGAAGAGAATGATATAAATACATTTCTTTATCTTTTTTTTTTCTCACTGAAAAGGGAAATATGTTGATGATAAAGCAAAACACGACGACTAAGACAAGAGAAACAAGAAAAAAATGTCCATAACTTACTTCAGGAATTTTAGGAG